AGTTCTAACATTTTTTTATATGGAAAAAATGCGGATCCGTCAACAAAAAATTGCAAAAAATAAACGGTAAGTGCCAACTACTTTAAATTGGCACTTCACTAAACTAAAATTTTAAATTAAAAAAAGCAGAATTTTTATAATTTTTGCATAAAATATGAAATTTGGATTTAAATGGTGTTTTTGTAATCAGCTATACTTTCATTAAAAAAATAATAAGCTAAAATATCGCGTCCCAGTTCATATTTGGGTCACTATATATTAATATAAAATATAAATTATTAAAATCCGCCCAGTATTTTAAGATTTTTCGGATTAGAGGAAATTTGTTCAATTTTATATACTTAACACAGTCCGACAAGAAAAATTTCTCCAAGATACGGCTAGCAGTTTCTAATAGGTCGCCAAATTTGTAAAAATAGAAACAAATACATTTGAATTTTAATAAAATACGGCAAATAGCGAAATCGGCTAAAAACGGCTAACTTTTGCAAACCGGATTGGCGGCCGGCTAAATCGACTTTTATTCGGCTGTTTGCTATCGCAACCGGCTAAATCTAGCCGGAAAACAGCTAAATTGGCAACACTGTTACTCATGCTTATCCAAACCACCAGAGCAACGAGTACAGCTGCTAGTAATATGTTTCTATGGTGATTTGTTTTCGTAAATGCACGTATGTATGTACTATGTAGATCTTCCGGATTGTACTATATTGCGCCGCTGAGAGCAACAGAATTTCAGTTTTCGTAATTTAAAACTAATGAACTAAAATTGAACAAAGCAGCAGCAGCAACAGAGTTTAGTCAGCAGATAGCCGAGTTATGCATAGAAACAGAGTTGGTTAAAATTAACAGCGCAAATAAAATACCAGCGCAAATAAAATACCAGCGCTAAATGTTGTCAACAATGCCGATAGCAGCAAAAACAACAGACAACTATTAAGCGCATACACGCGCGCACTTATACTTCTTCACTTGTTTTATAATAAAATTATTTGAAGTTTGTAAAATTTATTGCAATACTGAATTAATATTTAATAGAATAATTTAATAAAACTTAAAAACATATACTACATACATCCAAATAAATAAATAGCATTTTATATTTACCTATTTATGCATACGAATATTTTTTGTGTGCAGATAAGGAGGTTCTGGAAAAAACTCGTTACAGGAAATATAACAACGTTGACCGATTGCGGATTGTTGAGGCCGCTAATAAGGGATATGACTGGTACAGTTTAGCAGCATCTTTAGTTATAGTTTATAAAACTGTTTACACATGGGTGCAATCTGGCAGAGTCGTGACTCAAAAACGAGGTGGAGGGAATGAAAAGAAGCTGACTGAAAACGATGATGTAATGGTTCCCTGGGTGGAGGTGGACGATACTCTCACCTTAAAGCAGTTAGCCTCCATAGTGAAAATGGAGTTTAACAAACATATTTGCACATCGATCGCGGCAAACTACTTAAGGCCGGTTGTTCAATGTCTGATTAGCACTAATCGAAGGTAGAAGCTCCGGTTAAATACAACTA